ACACATTATCGTTAATTACACTTGTCACTATACGTGTCAATCTGTTACCATTCAATATCGATCAGCTCATTGGATCATCAAGTGATGAACTCACTGCTGTACTACACTGGCATAATGTGGGACCTGTTATTGTTACTGCAATTTCTCTACTCAATATTGAAGTATTACATCTGTTACTAGCTAGTATTGTCTGTGCTGCTGCAGTGTTAGTTAGTCATGGTCTCTTCAATCATCATCTTGAGACTACTCCTGTGAATACAGTTAATCCGGTCAAACTGATAGTTAGAGTATTGTGTTATGCCAGGAAGCACAAGTATCCTGAGAATCGTAGTGCTCTGACCTACTGGGAGGAAGAGGCTCCTTCAAGACTAGACCTGGGTAAGGATAAATATGGTGGACCATTCACAGAGGAAGAGGTAGAAGATGTTAAGACTGTTATTAGATTAATACCACTGGTTATTGTCTGTATTGTGACATCAGGTTTGTTTCAAGTATTCACTATAGGGCTAAGTCTTGAGACATTTGGGTGCAGTGGCCCACTTAATCTTCAATTGTTGTTTGCTATATCATATATTTTTATCATTTTCCTCCATCAGTTTCTCATATATCCATGTTTTTATAAATACATTCCTAGTTTGCTGAAAAGAATAGGAATGTGCTTGGTACTAATATTCATTGTTAATATTCTCTACACTGGTCTCTCAGTAATTGGTAATTATCATTTTGGACAAATGTTTCACTGCTTTACTGTTTATGATAAAAATCAATCCATTATTCATAATCAATGGATTGTGTTTAATTATATTATTGAAGCAATCATGTGGTATATCTTTAATGTTGTACTAGTTGAGTTTATACTTGCTCAGTGTCCTAAATCAATGAGAGGAACCATGATAGGATTGTGGTTCTGCATTTGGTTCTGGAGAGAATATATTCAATTTACTTTATTTCTTCCGTTTCTTCAATACAAAAGTCCAGAGGCTTCATTGGGTCGTGGATTTTATTACTTTCTTGCAAGGGCATTCTTTGTCTCTCTCTGTCTAATCCTTTTCTTACTTCTTGCTAAGCAATACAAGTTACGTGTGAGAGAGGTTGAAATCAACATTCATCAAATTGCTGAGAACCACACCATTAACAATATTGAACATGAAGAAGAATATTGGAGGAGGAATGCAATAGAATCCTCAAGCCAGTCAACAGATATTATAACATCAGAATACTAATAACTGAATAATTAACTTATACCTTTGCATATGCTTGTATTCAATTGTGGTTTTTGCTTTCAGTAAATTCAGTCTTAAATTAAATAAGTTTTTGGCTGAAATGATCTGTCAGTAAATACATTAATGTGTGTTCACATATATATTACAAACTGCTTTTCAATCCTTTGCATAATACTGTTTATTTGCATTTATTCTCTTTTACTATTGTACACACATGTACATCTTAGGCATATTCAGTAACATTAGGGGAATTCTTGTTATTAATTCCATCACTAATGTGAATGCATTATAATATTTTCTGGTGTCTTATCAAAACTGGCTACATACCCCAATTTGGTATGATCTAGCTCACCCCATGCATCTGGATTAAGTTTTGTTTTGAATGTCATGCTTCATCAAAAACTGTAAGCATTCATTTTTAAATGCTAAAAGTGTCATTGCTAATAAAACTTTTGTCCAGCAGAAGTCGTTCAAACAAAATACGCTTCATTGCCTTCACATCTTCAGTAGCATCATGAGCAGGGAAATCTTCTTGAAATAAATGACGGTATAAGTTACCTAGCCCAAGTGATAGCTTCTTTCCTCGTTCTTTGTCTGCTTGAGGATTATTTAGCAATGGGTGTTGGTCTTTTTGTAGCTTACGCAATATTTCAAGGCTATCAGAAAAGTAGATTCCTTTTTCTAATAAATCAGAAGAGGAGACATTGATTTTCTTAAAAGCATTTACCAATATTGGAGCATCAAAACGTTTTGCATTATGAGCTACAAGTATGAGGCGTGAATTGGGATCTTTTCCATTTGAGAGTTGACAGAGATAATGATAAAACTGAGTCAAACCATCTTCATAGCTTGCAGCATCAACCTCTTCATTTCCTACCATTAAAACCCTTGCCCCATCTGTTTCTTCAACATGTATGCCTGTTACTTGGGTTGCTCCATATCCAATGTCTTGATTTGGTATTAAATACTTTGACCACACGTTATTTTGTCCAACCACCTCTGCTGCTATCTGAGTTATGTCAGAATCTAATGCCAAGCCAGTTGTCTCGAGATCAAAAAGAACTATTATATCATTATTTGGAGTTGCAGATTCTTTGATTGGGCCCTTTATTGTGGGTTGGTCAGCTTCCATGGTTGATGGTAAACTGTTGTCTAAAGTAGCAGTAACATCCATGCTTGCTGGTAAGCTGCTGCTTTCAATTGTTTCCATTGATGCTGGTAATGAGCTGTCATCCATAGTGCTGTCTATATGAGATTCTTTTGGCTAAAAAGTGATTTTGAAAAGTTTTGTTGTCTCTGAGCTTTTCACCCCCTTTATATCTTATCAGTCACTCCACCTTCTATTGCTCACTGATGCAACTGTCTATGTAAACTAAAGGATGACTATAATATGTCAGGTAGTGCTACACTAAAAACTGATAGAATTTTGATTATTTATATGGCAAAAATTTCATGTATTTCACTGCTTTCTTTCTCTCTCTCTCATTCTCATTGTCCTGTTACTGTCAATGATGATGATACTAAAGATTGGCATCCTTTGCTTGTCAGTAGCTTGTATATATCTACAAGGGATAGCCGTATAGCTATAAACACAATTTCTCACATAGATTTGTCAGTTTCATAATAATTAAAGTGTGGATTTTTATCACAAAATAAGCTATGATCTGTGGGCTCAATTTTGCATGCAAACATCAATATACAATAAGATCATATCAACACAGTGTTCTCTAGTCAGGCTGAGCCTGATCGAAATTGTCATACCAGTTATGTACAGCTCGTGTTTACTAAAAAAATTGCAAAATAAAGTGCATTAAATAATCTTAATAGCAATTCCTTCTTTATACTACCATCTCTATGGGCAATATACCTTGCATTCCATATAAGGGCATTAACTAGATAGTAGATTCACTGATAATGTAAACTCTGGTCAAGAAGGAAGTAGTAA